AATTTCTGCTTGAATACTTATAAGCAAAGTTATAAAAGGTATTTTTAGTGTTAAAAACTTGTCGTTTTATTCAGCAGTCTTAAATTTTTGAGAAAACTGGAAAGCAAAAATGTATGTACCACAACCTTCAACTACTGCTTTGTTTTAATAACTTCTTTTTCTTATGAAAACAACAAACCACATTTAGAATAAAAATGAACACAAATCTACAAAAGTAAAAGGATGACTTGGTAATTTCATGACTATGAGGATATCATGGGCATATTTTTTGCTCTATAGGGTCAGACTAGACAAAAACACTTGTTTTATAAACAATACTGAATCTAATTTATAAATTAAAATTTAACATATGGAAATAATTCAGAACTACCAGCACTTCATTATTAATATTTTAGATGAATAATACTCAAGGGTAACAAAATAGTACTTTTCAAATGATTACACAATTTGGTATGCAAATTTCATTTAAACATATTGTAAGCTTTTTTTAAAAGCCAAGGGAGGACGGAACATGTTAGCAATTTCCTCGACTTAAATTACTTAACAGACTATACAAAATTGCCAATACAAATTAACATATTGTTATACAAATTCTAACTATAATTGCAACATGACAAAAATCAACCACAAAAATCCTTAAAAATGAATAAGCTCCACCAATTCATATTAGTCACCTAAATTAAAGAATTTAAAATGTTTTTATTTCTTCATATATTTACTTACAAAACTTATAAAATTGAAGAGAACTGCAAAGATGCTGACCAGGCAACGCGGCAATTCAAAATTAATACTAGAATCAGAAAGACTTTTAAGTCTCCAACATCAAATTAAATATTTGTTAATTAATAACTGTTAAAATTAGATGTCTAGAATTATAATAATTAAAATTATAAGATTTTATAATTATAATTAAATGTTTATAATCTGTAGATAAGAACTTCATTAAGGCAATTGTCACAGCTGGCAAAGAAAAATCTATTAAAGTAACATAGAAAGGAAAGAAAAACGTGTCCCTAAAACTTTGGGGAAAAAATTGATACCATAAAAATTTTACTTCATTTAATATTATTGTTTGATCTACCTATGTTTTGTAGCATTAAAAAGCCCTTAAGTATTTATATAAATGACCTGAGAAAGCCACTGTAAGCTTATAGGCTTAACTATCCCACCAAAAATCCCATTTAAAAGATCAACTCACAGGCTCAATATATTGGTTTTATTTTGCACATTTTTGTAAAGTAGCTTTAAATTGTCAAGAACATATAATTGAGAGAGAATGGAGAGCACCTTTTCCTTGACCTTCTCAACTTGGAAAAAAAAACGGATCCTCAGGCTGGAGTGCAGTGGCATGATCACAGCTCACTGCGGCCTTGACCCCCCAGGTTCAAGTGATTCTCCCACCTGTCTCCCAAGTACCTGGGACTTACAGGCACACGCAACCACGCCCAGCTAATTTAAAAAAAAAATTGTTTTGTAGATATGGTGTCTCACTATGTTGCCCAGGCTGGTCTTGAACTCCTGGGCTCAAACAATCCTTCCAACATGGCCTCCCCAAATGCTGAGATTATAAGTGTGGGTCACTGTGCCTGGCCTTAACCAAAAATTTTTAATGTAAGATTTTTATATCCTTAAAGAGGACTATCTCTAACCAATTAAGCAACTAAACAAAATACCAAACAACTTATCTCCACTTCAATCTCTGAATATTGTAAAAAATCAGGCTACTTTTGTCCTAAATACATTTTTTTTTTTATTCTAAATACACAAAATAGACAGTATATACATCAAAGATACAGTCCAGTCTTTGGCCAGCTTATTTATCTTGTATCTAGTGGAATGTTTGCCATTGGGAGACAAATTCTGGTAACTATATAGGTTACGAATGTTCCTGTTAGAGCATTCAGATCATTTCACCTCACTTCTCTCCCTCCTACACTTATACTGAATTAAAGCACCATTTACAGTATAGGTAATCTGACCATATATTTTAAAATGCCAGGGATATATAGCTCAGCTGTTAAAAGTCATAAGTCATAAATATATTAGAGATCTATTCATTTTGAAAAGCTCTGCAAAACAAAATGTTGACAAATGCTTTGCAGGCTGTTATTGAATGCACCAAGCAGCCCACATTTAAAGTGTAAACATCATATTTATTATCCTAAAAGTGACCCAAAGAATATTTGCAATGTCTAAGATGAAAACAAAAACAAAACCTTTTCTTTGATAGGAAGAAGCATCCTAGTTTCTCAGATTAAAAAATAATAGTAATAAAATATTCTATGACAAAGAAACAAGACCTAAGAGTTACATGTTACAATCTCTAAAGCTGAATAGGTAACTCCATATTTCTTTCTTCTGGTTAATTTTTCTCTGGTACATAAATTAAGGCATAAAGCAGCAAGAGTGCAATTGATTCCAAACAACTTGGAATTTTATTGTAAACATCCCATAAAGAATGGCAACAAATTAGTCCAGTTTTTTGTCTTTGAAGATAATTGCTTATTAATGACTGACAACTGCCAAACAAAACATCTTTTATAAATCAAGCCAGTTTAGATTACCTTTTTTACTGAATTTTAGTTTAATGGACATTTTGCCCATATACAATATCATATCAACTATGAACTGATTTTTCCATCTTAAAATGTATGGATACCAAGAACAAATAAAAGGTACAGTTATGTTAATACTGTGTAAGAGATTACAAAAGACAAGAATGATAAGTTACAGGACAAAGAAATAAATTACTGATTGCCATCACCACAGTATTGTTTAAGAGTTAACATTTGAAGTACTGCCTAATGTGTATCTGGTGACATATGCAAAAACACATTTCCCAACTGGATTTCTAAATATTTTTGCATATCATTTTAAAATTCAATTACCAGTGGTGGTTTCATTATGTTATCAATAGTTTTATTTTTTAAGAAAATACTTATCATGCTTTTATATGTCAAAGTCTCATATTCTAGATTTAATTTAGAAGAAATGGGCATACATGTAAATAAACAAACACAACTTAATTCTAAACTGCAGGGCCTTTCTACTATACTTCTCCCATCAATGAATCAAAAATTGCCAATCTTAAGTGTGGCAAATTAGGTGCAGTTTTCATGGCAGAAAGGAAAGTGAGGATAAAAGTAAGCAGGATTGAAAAGATGAAAAAAGAAACAATCAATAATAAGGGTATATAGGCCGGGCACGGTGGCTCACGCCTGTAATCCCAGCACTTTGGGAGGCCGAGGTGAGGAAGGAAGGAAGGAAGGAAGGAAGGAAGGAAGG